ACTCCGAATTATCAGGCTGGAACGCCGTAAGTTACTTTATATGACAGTTTATACAGATAACTTTGGATATTAATGTATATTTTTCTAACATGAAGATAAGATAAGATAACCTTTATTAGTCCCACACGTGGGAAATTTGTTTTGTCACAGCAGGAAGTGGACAGTGCAAAAGTTATGAGCAAAAATTAGAATACAATAAGAATAAATACAGTACACAACTGTACAGAATAGAATAAAATACTATATACAGTAGAATAAAATAAAATAAATATACAATAAGATAAAAATAGAATACAAATACAAATGCTATATACAACTGAGTAAGAATACAACGATGACAGAAACATGAATGTTTTAGTAATGCACTTTATTGATGTAAACATGCTTCTGCCTGTTGAGATGGAGTTTATTTTCTGTCATTTCAGTTTTCACCACATGTTCATGGAGACAATTAAACAAGCTGCAACTAAACTCCAGGGTCTTCATTTGTGGTTTAACTCGGTGTCACCAACATCCTCGTTGAAAACACTACAGTGAAAAGGCGCTACTGGTGATTCATCACGGTCAAAATGGCATCCAGTAACAAGTCTGCACGCAGTTTAAGGACCAGCCGCTCATCTGGATCAGCAGTAAGCGCTGCCCATGCTCGAGCTAAAGCAGAGGCTGCCAAGGTGAGAGCATGCTATGCAACAAAAGAAGCACAGTTAAAGGTTGAAAAAGCTCAAAGCGAACTGGAAAAGGCAAAAATAGATGCAGAATTAGAAGTGTTAACATTACAGAGGGAAGCTGATGCTGCTGTAGCTGAAGCAGAAGTGCTAGAGGAAGCTGAAGCTATACAAGAAGAACCTGAGAGTAGAAAATCTCCATCAGAAAGTGTAAAATTAGAACGTACAAATGAATATGTACGATCTCAAATGGAGACCAAGCTATCTCCCAGTCCACAAAAATTACCAACCACTTCTTGCCCCCAAGCAAGTTCACCCAACACATTTGTAACGTGGCATCCCTCTGAAGAAGGCAATTTAGAGCCACAACCCATCAACTCTGAAACAAGACTTACCAAAGATAATATTGCTGCTCTAAATAAGCCCAGCCAGCTGAAAGGTGAAACAAAACCTAAAGTGGAGAAACAAAATACCTCTCTCAACCCATGCGGCTCACCATTCATACCTCAGCATAACTATAACACCACGGCCAGCATTTTAAATCCAGCAGAGCCCTTTGCCCAATACATGGCACGTCGAGATTTAATAATCTCAGGCCTTTACCAGTTCGACGATAGGCCAGAGAACTACAGAGCATGGTGCTCTTCATTTACCAGTGCAACAGCTGAAGTCCAACTCACCCCCATTCAAGAGCTAGATCTCATGACAAAGTGGTTAGGGAGAGAGTCAAGTGATCAGGTGAAACGCATACGTTCAGTATATGTCAACAACCCCACATTAGCTCTATGCAAAGCATGGGAAAGACTGAATGAATGTTATGCAGCATCAGAAATAATCGAAAGGTCACTTTTCCAACGGTTGGACAGTTTCCCCAAAATAACAGTCAAAGATCATGTCAAGCTACGTGAACTAGGAGATTTACTGCAAGAGATTCAAGGCGCTAAGGAAGACGGCCATCTGCCTGGTCTACTCTATCTGGACACTTCTCGTGGAATTAGCCCAATCGTAGACAAACTCCCATATGGACTTCAGGAGAGGTGGATGTCACACGGCTCTCAATATAAAGAGAACAACCAAGGCTGTTTCCCACCTTTTGAGTACTTCTGTGAATTCATATGTAAAGAGGCAAAGAAATGCAATGATGATCCCTCTACCATCGCTCATAGAGTGTCAGGACATTCCTAACAATAGGAATGAAATCCCAACTCCCAGCGCAGTGCTACACCAGCCGCACCTCCGTACCATAGCAAAGTACATCCCAGAGCTAGACCCTAAAGCCGAAATACTCCTGCTACTAGGGAGAGACATTTTACAGGCACACAAGGTCAGGCAGAGAATTAACGGCCCCCATAATGCCCCCTTCGCCCAGCGCCTAGACCTAGGGTGGGTTGTAGTTGGGGAGGTCTGTCTGGGTAATGTTCATAGGCCTACAGTCAGCACCCTGAAGACAGTCGTTCTGGAAAATGGCCGCCCTACAGTTTTCAAACCATGCAATAGCCTTCTGCAACTCAAAGAAATGCCACACACAAACAGGCCAGGTAAAGCGCCCGAACAAACTCTGGGTCAAACAGTTTTTAACCGGACAGATAACGACAACAAACCAGCTCACTCAATACAGGACACTCTCTTTCTAAAAATGATGGACAATGCTATGTACAGAGACGTGGACAACAGTTGGGTCGCCCCACTTCCATTTAAGGAACCCCGCCAGCAATTACCAAACAACAGACAGCAGGCGGCCACAAGGTTCTCCTCCTTAAAACGCACCCTTAATAGGAAACCTGAAATGCGGGAGCATTATGTGGCCTTCATGGAAAAAATCCTCTCCAATGGTCACGCCGAGGTGGCCCCCCCACTGGAAAAGGGAGAAGAGTGTTGGTATCTTCCAACATTTGGAGTCTACCACCCACAAAAACCCAATCAGATCAGGGTTGTCTTCGATTCTAGCGCCCAGTACTTGGGTGTCTCACTTAACAATGTCCTCCTTACTGGCCCTGATTTAAACAACACACTTGTCGGAGTTCTTCTCCGCTTCCGGACAGAAAGTGTTGCAATCATGGCAGATATACAGCAAATGTTTCACTGTTTTATGGTACGCGAAGACCACCGCAACTTCCTCCGTTTTCTGTGGCATAGGGACAACGACCCAAACAACGAAGTTGTCGAGTACCGGATGAAAGTCCACGTGTTTGGCAACTCAACATCCCCCGCTGTTGCCATTTATGGACTACGCAAGGCCATCAGAGCAGGTTCGAAAGACTATGGTGCAGATACAGTAAAGTTCGTGGAGAGGCACTTTTACGTAGATGACGGCTTGATCTCTGTCCCCTCTCCTGCTGAGGCTATAGACTTGCTTCAAAGAACACAAGCCTCACTCGCTGAATCCAACCTGCGCCTGCATAAGTTCGTTTCCAACTCTCAGGCAGTTATGCAGGCCTTCTGCCCAGAAGATTGTGCTCCTGTCATTAAAAACTTAGATTTAAGTGGTGAAGAGACACAATCCCAGCGAAGCCTTGGACTCATTTGGGAAATAACAAGAGACACATTCACTTACTCAGTGGCCACCTCAAGCAAGCCATTCACTCGCCGTGGCGTATTGTCCTCTGTCAATAGCGTCTTCGATCCCCTGGGCCTATTGGCACCCGTTACAATCCAAGGAAGGGCCCTACTCAGAGAGCTTACTTCAGAATAGGGCTGCTCGATTATGGCAAAAATGATAATCACGATTATTTTCACTGAAATTGAGATCACGATTATTTGACGATATTTATTTAACCCTTTAAGACCTACCATAGAACCAAGTCCACCAGAGCTTATATTATTTTTTTACATGTTGTAGTGCCATTTGTGGGAGCATTTCAAGTTGCTATACATCAATACAACTGTTATAGCCCATATTTTAATAATATGTATGCATTAAGTCCATAGTAATTACATAAATTGCAAAAAAGTGCAATAAACTACAAAAAAAATTGAAAATCGCTTTTGTTTTGTTTACATATATTTCTACTTGGAGAAATTTAAGAGGTTTATCCCTCAAAACTTTAAATACAATAAAGTTGCAAAAAATAGTTTCCCACCACAGGAAATTTATTTTGAGTGTCTTCATAGTTTTATTTTGGAGATACAGCAATTTTTATATACTGCAGGAAAAACAAAAAACAATCCTATGATGCAAATTTGCAAAGAAAACAGCAGGTGCATCATTTCACTGTGGGAAGTGTTACGAACAGCTGATAGGAACGGCAAAGCGTGTTTCTGGAATATTATGTTTTTGTTCCTGCAAGCGCTTTTTATGCAATTTTTGCAAAGCTATATGTGGAACGAAACCGTGACCGAGGACAAGCTGATGGCATCAGATGTAAGTACAACTCCTCCGGTTTCATATGCAAAACAAATTATTGCGCTAGCTTACACGGTTCAGGTTCTACAGGGATTTAAAAATAGTTACGCAAAACGGAGCGTGCTGCTCTGACCGGCTTTAAAGGGTTAACAATGACTTTAAAAAATAATATAAAATAGTGTGCAACACCACTGAAGTTTTTTTTTTTTTAAACTCTCTTTTCAACCAACGGCAGTCACTCTCCAAATAACTTCTGCTTAGCTTTCCGAGCTTCCCTCGGGTCCTCTTAATCAGCGGTCTCCAACCTTTTTTGCGCCACGGACGGTTTATGCCCGACAATATTTTCACGGACCGGCCTTTAAGGTGTCGCGGATAAATGAGGGAGGGGCTAATAATCGGCTCAGTCATTTTTAATGATCGTTGAAAGCCCAGATCGTAATCGTGATTAAAATTCGATTAATTGAGCAGCCCTACTTCAGAATGTTCAGATTGGGACATACCCCTTCCAGAGGACAAACAAAGCAGATGGAAACGTGGAGAAATTCCCTTCAGGATCTAAGAGAACTACATGTTCCCAGAACCTACACATCCACCTCACTAAGTCGAGCAAAGCGAAAGGAACTGTGTTTATTCTCAGATGCATCTACTAAGGCCATAGGAGCTGTAGCCTACTTAAAGGCAGTTCAAACAGATGGGAAGGTCGAGGTTGGGTTCATAATGGGCAAAGCAAAACTAGCCCCCCTGTCAGAACCTACAATACCAAGACTTGAACTATGTGCAGCCGTCTTGGCAGCAGAAATGGCTGACCTCATTCAAGATGAGTTGGACTTAGACTTTGATGCAGTGCACTTCTATACGGACAGTAAGGTAGTGCTTGGCTACATCTGTAATGAGTCAAAAAGGTTTTACACATACGTTCACAACAGAGTACAGCGCATTCGCCAGTCATCAAAGCCAGAACAGTGGCATTATGTGCGCACAGAGGAAAATCCAGCAGACCATGCGTCTAGGTCACTGTCGGCATTCCAACTAAAAAAGTCCACCTGGTTCACCGGACCACCCTTCATCCACCGTCCTGCCGCAGAGACAACACAACTGAGTGGAAGGTTTGACCTGATTGAACCAGATAAGGACTCAGAAATTAGACCAGAAGTAAAAACTTACGTCACTCACCTCCAAGTACTCATCTGTAAGCGTTTTGAGCACTTTTCTACTTTTCAGTCTTTAGTCAGAGCCATAGCAAATCTTATCCACATTGCAAAGTCCTTCAATGGGACTAATCCAAACAAAAAATGCAAAGGCTGGCACAAATGTCATCTGCCTCAAACTCCAGAGGAGATTGCTCAAGCAAAAACTGTCATCTTCAAAGAGACACAGAAGGCATACTTTGAGAAGGAACTTTCTGCCCTTGATGCTGGCAAGCCAATCTCAAAACAGAGCCCCCTCAAGAAGCTCAGCCCAATGTTACAGGACAGTCTCATTTCTGTTGGAGGCCGACTCAAACACGCAGAAATTGAGAGTGTTGAAAAGAGCCCAGTAATTCTTCCAAAAAACAGTCACATCTCCCTTCTGCTCACTCGCCATTACCACGAGCTAACAAGGCACCAAGGTCGTCATCTGACGGAAGGAGCAATCAGAGCTGCTGGGCTGTGGCTTTTAGGCGGCAAAAAACTAGTCAATTCAGTAATCCACAAATGTTTAACCTGCCGCAAACTACGTGGAAAACAAGAACAACAACTCATGGCGGACCTACCACCTGAACGCCTAAAAACTTGTCCTCCTTTCACCTACGTCGGCCTTGATGTCTTCGGACCGTGGTCCATAACAACCAGGCGTACCAGGGGCGGAGTAGCTGAAAGTAAGCGGTGGGCCATCATGTTTACCTGCATGAGTTCGAGAGCTGTGCATATTGAGGTAATCGAATCTCTGGACACATCCAGCTGCATAAACGCCCTCCGCCGCTTCTTCGCTCTGAGAGGCCCCGCCAAACAGCTGCTATCTGACCGTGGCACCAATTTTATTAGCACTTCAAAGGAACTTGGAATGGATAAATCACTCCAACAGTACCTAACTATCCAAGGCTGCAGTTGGGAGTTTAATCCACCACATGCATCCCACATGGGAGGCTCTTGGGAGCGCATGATCGGAGTCGCCCGCAGAATCCTGGACTCCATGCTACTACAAAATAAGATTCAACTGACTCACGACGTGTTATGCACACTCATGGCTGAGGTTACAGCCATAATAAATGCAAGGCCGCTCGTCCCAGTGTCCTCTGATCCAGAGAACCCTTTCGTCCTATCCCCTTCAATGCTCCTTACGCAGAAATCTTGCCTCCTATCCCCACCTGGAGACTTTTCGGATAAAGACCTCTACAACAAACAATGGAGACGGGTCCAAGCCCTTTCCAACCAGTTCTGGACACGCTGGAGGCGAGAGTATCTACCCACATTGCAGCAAAGGCAGAAATGGACCGGGTCGCGCAGAAACCTCCAAGTTGGTGACCTGGTTCTGCTCAAGGACAAGCAGGTTGCACGAAACAGCTGGCCCATGGCCAGGGTCACTGCCACATTCCCAAGCAAGGACGATCGAGTAAGGAAAATTGAGGTAAAGACATGCAATCAAGGGTGCATAAAGACATTTATGCGACCAGAAGTTATCCTCCTCATGCCAAAGGACTGAATGCATAATGTTTGTTTAGCATAGTGGCCTCCCGAGGCCAGGCGGGGAGTGTGTTGCCCTTAAGGCATTTCTCTGAATAAATAGGTTCATAAGTTTGAAATAAATAATTATAAAAAGATTTGCCATTAAAAAATTAATATGTGTTGTTAAAATGAATAATTCATGTTGTATATACGTTTTAGTTAAAAGGAAAATATCGCTAAAATGTATTTCCTGTTCTGGCGGGGCACTTCCGGTTCCGGTCAAGCACTTCCGGTTTTGGTCAAGCGCTCGGTTTTGCTGAGAAACAGGCTCCTCATGTTAAAGGCAGTATGGAGATGTAATCAAATGCCATCTACTCCGAATTATCAGGCTGGAACGCCGTAAGTTACTTTATATGACAGTTTATACAGATAACTTTGGATATTAATGTATATTTTGCTAACATGAATGTTTTAGTGAGAGTAATGCACTTTATTGATGTAAACATGCTTCTGCCTGTTGAGATGGAGTTTATTTTCTGTCATTTCAGTTTTCACCACATGTTCATGGAGACAATTAAACAAGCTGCAACTAAACTCCAGGGTCTTCATTTGTGGTTTAACTCGGTGTCACCAACATCCTCGTTGAAAACACTACAGGCAATATGGCCTACAATCCAAATTGCAGTATAATTTGAAGCATGTGCGGTAACGATATATATTGCGATAAATAGATCTTTTCTGTATATCAGCGGTCCCCAACCCCCGGGCCTCGGACCGGTACCGGTCCATGAGTCGTTTGGTACCGGGCCGCGAGAGTTGAGGCTCAGGTGTGAAATGTATAGTTTTCAGGGTTTTTATTGGTTTTCAGCGTTATTTTGTTATCGTTTTTATCGTTAACTCGGTTTTCCTTGGTCTTTTCACGTGTGTTATGAATAAATCTTCTTTTTTTCGGTACCGGTACTAGTTTTATTTTGTTGTATTTATCCGCGACACCTTAAAGGCCGGTCCGTGAAAATATTGTCGGGCATAAACCGGTCCGTGGCGCAAAAAAGGTTGGGGACTGCTGCTGTATACCATATTTTCTGCACTAAATGGCGCACTTAAAATCCTTCAATTTTCTCAAAAATTGACAGTGTGCCTTATAATCCGTGTGCCTTATGTATAAATTCTGGTTGTGCTTACTGACCTCAAATTTTATGTGTGCGATTTTACGTGGTACACGGCGCTCAAAAATCTGTCAAAAATGTTTTATTACGACTTTGGTAAGCTACGACACTGCACCGCTTGATGGATTGTTGGAGCATTACAGCTACCATAGTCAGGAGCCTCGCGCAGTGTCGCCAACTTAGCGACTTTGTGGCTATATTTAAAACGTACAGCTCTGCTATCACTTCCAATATAAATGAAGACAGAAAACTAAACAGCAGTGACTTTTTAGGGTTACTGAAGTTGGGCTAGCTGGTATATAATGATGTGCTACGTGATTGCTAGCAACACAGCTATGTTAGCATAACATAAACAGTGAAGCTGGAGGATGAACGCTAACTTTTTTCCACTCGATAAAAGTTAACGTGAGGGTTCCTGATGGTTAGAGACAAATGCAATCGCATGGCAGGATGCTGTAAACGGACCAAACTTCAGTCAGGAGAACAACTGAGATAATCCATCCACAATACGAGGTTAGTCATTAATATACTGCAACAACATGGGAATAGAGCAGCTGCGAGAGAATTCAACATTAATGAATCAATGGTATGGAAGTGGAGGAAGCGCAGTTTTTGGCTTTCCTCATATTCCAAAACGTGCTTCGTCTCTTCGCTATTACTGTCGCCAGGCATAATTTGCAGATAATATTTTTCTGCTTAACATCCAACTGCTTAAACCCAAACCAGGTGCATATGACCGGCATCGCACCGTTCTTCTTTATGAGCACCGTCTCCTCCTCTTCATGCTTGCAGCCGCTGTGATGCTTTCAGTCAAAACAGGTGCAGCTTGATGACACATCAACATGTGCTATCGTGGTAGAGCAGTATAGTCAAAATCTCTATCGTTGGCCAAATTCATATTGTTTCTACCGTATACCGTTTATACCGCCCACCCCTAGTGAACACACTTGAGGTTGTAGCGCCCAAACTTTGGACCATTCTGCCAATAAGGTTTGCTGTTTTTTCTAAACGCACTCTAAACGGCACCTATTTGCTTGTTGCTGTGTTGTGCTACAGTGTTGAGATGTACGCAGACACCAACAGATATATACCAACAAACAACAACAAAGCAACGCCACAATTAAGGAAACTTGATTCACATGTCCAAATTTAGAAGCAAACAAGCTACCCCAGGGCATGCAGCCTGATTATTTAATATCATATGTCCTTCCTCATTTAGGAAGGACATATGATTTAATTAAATCAAATTGCTGATTTAATTCTCTTCAGTGTTGCCCCTCACCTAGAAGCTTTTATGGTATAAATCCTAGTTCAGATCTTTCTCTGAGAGAGTTACTGCATTCACAAGATTTTCAGAACTTGTAACCTCAAATTTAAAGTTGAGGTCAAAGTCACCGATATTTTTAGTAGCTACATCTATGGCATCAATTTAAAAATTATACTTGACTTATTGTGGTCACAAAGCTGGCCATCCCCATTGCCCACCGGTGTGGTGAAGACAATATGCAATCAGCCTTTCAGTTGTGAGGGAAAATACTGTATGCAATTTTTGATTTTGTTAATTATATCTAAAATCACCAACCGTTGTTCTTGTTTTTTGATGTTTTACTTTGGTAATTGTGGTCACTTCCTTGAAAATTCAACTCAACAAATAATTAGCTTCTAAAGAGTAACTGCCAAACAGTTATCTCTCTCTTATGCTCGAGCTAAAGCAGAGGCTGCCAAGGTGAGAGCATGCTATGCAACAAAAGAAGCACAGTTAAAGGTTGAAAAAGCTCAAAGCGAACTGGAAAAGGCAAAAATAGATGCAGAATTAGAAGTGTTAACATTACAGAGGGAAGCTGATACTGCTGTAGCTGAAGCAGAAGTGCTAGAGGAAGCTGAAGCAATACAAGAAGAACCTGAGAGTAGAAAATCTCCATCAGAAAGTGTAAAATTAGAACGTACAAATGAATATGTACGATCTCAAATGCTATCTCCCAGTCCACAAAAATTACCAACCACTTCTTGCCCCCAAGCAAGCTCACCCAACACATTTGTAACGTGGCATCCCTCTGAAGAAGGCAATTTAGAGCCACAACCCATCGACTCTGAAACAAGGCTTACCAAAGATAATATCGCTGCTCTAAATAAGCCAACCCAGCTGAAAGGTGAAACAAAACCTAAAGTGGAGAAACAAAATACCTCTCTCAACCCATGCGGCTCACCATTCATACCTCAACATAACTATAACACCACGGCCAGCATTTTAAATCCAGCAGAGCCCTTTGCCCAATACATGGCACGTCGAGATTTAATAATCTCAGGCCTTTACCAGTTCGACGATAGGCCAGAGAACTACAGAGCATGGTGCTCTTCGTTTACCAGTGCAACAGCTGAGGTCCAACTCACCCCCATTCAAGAGCTAGATCTCATGACGAAGTGGTTAGGGAGGGAGTCAAGTGATCAGGTGAAACGCATACGTTCAGTATATGTCAACAACCCCACATTAGCTCTATGCAAAGCATGGGAAAGACTGAATGAATGTTATGCAGCATCAGAAATAATCGAATGGTCACTTTTCCAACGGTTGGACAGTTTCCCCAAAATAACAGTCAAAGATCATGTCAAGCTACGTGAACTAGGAGATTTACTGCAAGAGATTCAAGGCGCTAAGGAAGACGGCCATCTGCCTGGTCTACTCTATCTGGACACTTCTCGTGGAATTAGCCCAATCGTAGACAAACTCCCATATGGACTTCAGGAGAGGTGGATGTCACATGGCTCTTAATATAAAGAGAACAACCAAGGCTGTTTCCCACCTATTGAGTACTTCTGTGAATTCATATGTAAAGAGGCAAAGAAATGCAATGATGATCCCTCTACCATCGCTCATAGAGTGTCAGGACATTCCTAACAATAGGAATGAAATCCTAACTCCCAGCGCAGTGCTACACCAGCCGCACCTCCGTACCATAGCAAAGTACATCCCTGAGCTAGACCCTAAAGCCAAAATACTCCTGCTACTAGGGAGAGACATTTTACAGGCACACAAGGTCAGGCAGAGAATTAACGGCCCCCACAACGCCCCCTTCGCCCAGCGCCTAGACCTAGGGTGGGTTGTAGTTGGGGAGGTCTGTCTGGGTAATGTTCATAGGCCTACAGTCAGCACCCTGAAGACAGTCGTTCTGGAAAATGGCCGCCCTACAGTTTTCAAACCATGCAATAGCCTTCTGCAAGTCAAAGAAATGCCACACACAAACAGGCCGGGTAAAGCGCCCGAACAAACTCTGGGTCAAACGGTTTTTAACCGGACAGATAACGACAACAAACCAGCTCACTCAATACAGGACACTCTCTTTCTAAAAATGATGGACAATGCTATGTACAGAGACGTGGACAACAGTTGGGTCGCCCCACTTCCATTTAAGGAACCCCGCCAGCAATTACCAAACAACAGACAGCAGGCGGCCACAAGGTTCTCCTCCTTAAAACGCACCCTTAATAGGAAACCTGAAATGCAGGAGCATTATGTGGCCTTCATGAAAAAAATCCTCTCCAATGGTCATGCCAAGGTGGCCCCCCCACTGGAAAAGGGAGAAGAGTGCTGGTATCTTCCAACATTTGGAGTCTACCACCCACAAAAACCCAATCAGATCAGGGTTGTCTTCGATTCTAGCGCCCAGTACTTGGGTGTCTCACTTAACAATGTCCTCCTTACTGGCCCTGATTTAAACAACACACTTGTCGGAGTTCTTCTCCGCTTCCGGACAGAAAGTGTTGCAATCATGGCAGATATACAGCAAATGTTTCACTGTTTTATGGTACGCGAAGACCACCGCAACTTCCTCCGTTTTCTGTGGCATAGGGACAACGACCCAAACAACGAAGTTGTCGAGTACCGGATGAAAGTCCACGTGTTTGGCAACTCAACATCCCCCGCTGTTGCCATTTATGGACTACGCAAGGCCATCAGAGCAGGTTCGAAAGACTATGGTGCAGATACAGTAAAGTTCGTGGAGAGGCACTTTTACGTAGATGACGGCTTGATCTCTGTCCCCTCTCCTGCTGAGGCTATAGACTTGCTTCAAAGAACACAAGCCTCACTCGCTGAATCCAACCTGCGCCTGCATAAGTTCGTTTCCAACTCTCAGGCAGTTATGCAGGCCTTCTGCCCAGAAGATTGTGCTCCTGTCATTAAAAACTTAGATTTAAGTGGTGAAGAGACACAATCCCAGCGAAGCCTTGGACTCATTTGGGAAATAACAAGAGACACATTCACTTACTCAGTGGCCACCTCAAGCAAGCCATTCACTCGCCGTGGCGTATTGTCCTCTGTCAATAGCGTCTTCGATCCCCTGGGCCTATTGGCACCCGTTACAATCCAAGGAAGGGCCCTACTCAGAGAGCTTACTTCAGAATAGGGCTGCTCGATTATGGCAAAAATGATAATCACGATTATTTTCACTGAAATTGAGATCACGATTATTTGACGATATTTATTTAACCCTTTAAGACCTACCATAGAACCAAGTCCACCAGAGCTTATATTATTTTTTTACATGTTGTAGTGCCATTTGTGGGAGCATTTCAAGTTGCTATACATCAATACAACTGTTATAGCCCATATTTTAATAATATGTAT